CAGGGGCTGGAAGGGGCTGCCCAGGGAAGGGGTCGAGTCCCCAGCCCGGGGGGGATTTAACAGCCGGGCAGAGGCGGTGCTGAGGGCCAGGGTTTGGGGGTGGACAGGTACAGCTGGACTCGATGATCTTATGGATCTTTTCCAACCAAGTGGCTCTCTGATCTCACCATGTTACTGAATTAGCAAATTTCAAACATTGTTAAAAATCCATATAAACCCCGTTATTCCCATGCCCAGTACAAATGTTTGACCATATGAACAAACCAGTGTAATTTATAAAAAGCAAACATTGCGAAGTGATTTACCAGAGCAGTAACGGCACGTAGCAAGCTCATCAGCCTTGCCCCGAGGCTGCACCCAGCAGCTCAGGACATCTGCGATCACCCAGAGCCTACAGCTGCATTCTAACTCTCCCCGCTGGGGACGGGCTGTCATCAGGAAGGATTTAAGAAAGCACCACCCTAAAAGACAACTCTTGCCCCACCTGCAAGCACAGAAGACCCCTCACGTGCAAAAAGTGCTCTTAAACACTTCTCCAGTTAAGAGCAATTTCCTCTGCCTGCATTGCATAGAACATCAGCAGCGCTCAACACCAATTTCAGTTTGAGGGCTTAAAATATCACTGTTCTCTTAATGGGAGTTTCAGAAGTCTGTTATATTTCTCTCTCTAAACTTTTCCTTCTCCCTCTTTATTAACATGGAGGGACCTCAGGTGCACTCTCCCAATTAACCTGACCTACAGATCCAGCCTTTCAACTTTTAATTTTTTTTTAAACTGAAGAGTGAGCTTCTCGGGAAGTGTGTCCAACTCATTAACAGACAGTCACAGGAAAACCTAGCACAAATTGAAGCCCCGTCGTTCCTATCTGTACGCAAGTTGAAATACATACAAACATCAAACCAGTAAAATAATCCAATCCTGCTGAGATTCAAGTAGAATTAGTCCACGGGGTGTGTTTTAAAAAAAAAAAGTAGTAAACAGCCTAATTTTTAAGGACAGGACAGCCATGAGTTCATCAATTCCAGTGTTTCTTCAAGCTGTGCTCACGTAGCTCCCCAAGGGATCTACGGACAGCAGAGCCTGTGAATAGGAGCTGGCGCCAGCACGCCCATCGTCAGGTTTCCAGCTGCAAACAAGAGTGGTTTAAGTGGAAAAGAGATTAAGTCTAAAAGTCAGGAATCACTCATGGGGCTTAATCAGTGACCTCACGCTGGTCAGTCTGCTCGGTTACCATTACAGCACATCCAGTAACTCCGGACTAACCGAGGCACGGTCAGGAGCAGGGCTCAAGGGCAGCTTGTGGACAGTATCAGGATCCAGACTCTCCTACAGGCTCTACTCTCATCCTTGTGAGAGAATTTTAGACACTAAGCCACTCACATTACTAAACAAGTGTTGGACAAACCCCACAAGAACACCCCATCAATTCTACGACAACCACATGGCACTACTAATACTAACAGGGCTTGCCCGGGAGCAGACCAGGAAAATCAGCTGCATTAACTGCCCCGCTTGTGACAGCAACAAATTTAAAAACAACGGGTAATCAAAAAGCAGTTACCTCTTTGAAGACTGCACCTCGGGGTTCCAGTCAGGGTACCTGTTAAAATGTTAAAAATACGACCGTCAGCGCAAAAGCTGCATTTGCCATCCCAACACAGCTTTTGCTCACATGCAGAAACGTTCCCGTTCAGGACTCCGGAAGCACCAAGTGTCGGTTCATCTCTTACCCTGATGGTCCAAGGCCAAGTCAGAAGAGCGCTCGGACACAGGCAATCCTCGTTACGGAAGCCTGACGAGTACATTTTCACAGACTACGTGCATGCACAGAAAACGCTTTTTACACTACGTGAGGTTTTTAAACAGATTCCTTACTGTTGGCGTAACTGGCGGCAGCTTTCAATGTGAGAAGGAGTGTTCTGATGCAGAATCCAGTCCTAATTGGAGAGAAGACATCCAGAGACGTTCGATTAGTGTGTAAAACGCTCGCGTGTGGCCACAGTTTCTAGTTATGTCTTGTCGTATTTTACCTTCCATCACATTTTACCGAGCAAACCATCTTGTGCCAAGGTCTAATTTCTCACTTCAAATCATTACTTTTTATGCAGAAGATGAAAATACTTAAAGATTATCAAAGGCTCTTAAAGAACACAAAGGGATCTACACGGAAGTTGAACAAAACACATCGTATTAAATGAATCTGTTACTTCCAGCACCACACTGGGTTGTTGTCACCACACCTCCCATGCAAAAGGTTGATCCAACAGCCGGCTACGTTAAAAGAAAGAAAACTATTAGCAGTCTTCAGATTGTCAGACCAGTGACCACAAACACCACAAAGCAAGCTGAGGAAAGCACAGAACCCGACACAACATGGTAACTTTAAGCCAAAGATCATCTCGACAGAGGCATGGCTTCTCACGCCTTAAGCTCCACAACATCCACTCCTAATAACGTTACAACTAAAGGTCAGTCAAAAAGCCTGATGAAATTTTTCTCGCGCACACAGATTTTTTTTTTTTTGGTGTTAAAAAAAAACTTAACGAAAGTTTTACTTGGGAATAACTGATGGGTTAAGCCTGAGACAAACCCAGAAGTACAATACAAGCCCTCAATCTTAAAAAATACTTAAGCACGGGTTTAACCATAAACACAGAATCAGTCCCCAGCACGGGAAAGTATGCCTGAAGCCTGTATTCCAGTATTATTATGGAGAAAGTAAACTGACCTGCTAGGGAAAGCAACTGCCGCAGATGGTTTGCTATGGAGAAGGGCTATTGCAGGGCCTGAAGCTGTAAGCTACATCATGCATCACCAATGTCATTATTAAGCGGCCTTAAAAAGCCCCAACTTCTACCTGCTTTAGTAGTTTAAAATGGGTAACAAGGGCTGAGGGAGGCACCGGCCAGGCAAGGCTGGGAGAGGACACGTCGCTTGTGCCAAGCGCACGCTGGCTGATAACGCACAAGATGGTAAAATGCGCAGCTGGCAGTATCAAACCCTCGCGTTCACCGACAGAAACGCTGAACGCACTGGTTAAAAGAAAAGCTGGTGATGGTTTACTAAAAGCCTACAAAGTGGAAGAACTAACGTGACGAGGGCACAGCTCGTTTGGGGCATTTTGGCAACACAGAGGTGTGGTGAGAACGGCCGTTCCTTGCACTTACCGCGTCAGCCTACCGACACCAGAGCCCATTACAGGACAGCTGCCCAAGCCGTTTGTACTCCACATACAAAACCCAGGGCTTTTAAAGAAATTAAAGTACATTTTAAGCACAAGACTTCTTATAATTCCCTGAAGAAAGAGATATACTGGTCAACCAACCTCAGAAAGGCATTGAAAGGTTCTACTGTGTCCATAAAAACACTCTGACCGTTCCAATAAAGTCAGAAAAATAATTCTCAGAAGACCCTCTGCAGTAATCTCGCCAGTTGAGCCAAAGCGTACCAAGAGTTGAAGAGCAGACCGATAAAGCAGCCTGCGGCTGTAGAACTGCACGCAGGGTGAACACACGGCATGCACACCAGTAAGGAACAAGCAATTCACCATTATACACTTCCCCCCTTTTTTTCCCCCCCCCCCCCCCCCCCGATAACATGCCATCGCTAAGCTACCCCGTTCTTCAGAATGCTGTTTTCTAGAGTCTTCGAGCCCTAGACGGGAAAAAGCAAAACCATTACTCAAGGGCTGAAGCAAATTAGCTTGTGGAAACGAAAGGAAATGGGGCTTCAAGTATTCCCCTTCCGTGGTCCCAATGGAAGAAAGCGCGCACAGTGTCCGCGAGGGCTGAGGGAGGCCATTTTGCTTCCAAGCGTCTTTAGCTACCGGTCCAACGAGCATTAACGAGACTGGCAGGCCTACAAAGAGATATTCTCCTCCCTAACAAACACAACATTCTTCTCTTCTTCAAGACTTCATTATGCCAATGCCCTCTTGCATTTCAGAGAATTACAGGAGTCTCGATTTACGCATATTCCTCCTCTTTGATAAATTCCTTGACCTTCTCAGTCTTCTGAAATATTCCACTCCTTCTGGCAAGTCTGGCCCCAAAGACAGATCCTTCCCGCCACAGAACAGGATCCCTTCCAGCACGAGTGCTCCGAGGTGTCCTGGCACGGGTAAGGACTTGCCGGCAGTTTCTTACAGCACTGCTGCTCCACAGCCCGGCACCCCCCGGGGACAAGCACCTTTGGTATCCGATTCCCTGCCACCGGCAGATCTCCTGCGACTTGTGGATCACCACCAGAAGGGTCCTGAAGAAGCAGCTGACGGAGCGTAGCGTCTCCAGTCTCCAAACTCGCCTCTTCTGCCAACAAGATAGCAGTAACGCGCAGGGATAGCACCGGCGCCTGTTCGTGCTGGCTTCGCAGCAAGGTGTTGCGTAGGAAAACCAGGAGTAAAATGGTGTAGACCCCATTTTGGCCCCTTACTTCAGCAAAGGAATCGTAACTGCAATTCTCTGAGGAAGACACCGAGTCCTCATGGCTTCACGCAACCTCAAGCCCAAGAAGACATCACCCTCACTTTAAATCTATTTAAGCTAGAAAACAAAAACTGTAATACACTGTAAACATGATCCCTTGTGCTGGCAATATTGCAAATCTGCTTGGTTCCAACAGTGACATGTGTTTCAAGGCAGAGAAATCGCAATTTATTATTCCAATACAGCCACAACTTCACATTGAAAATGAAGCCACTCTGTGAAATATTTATAAAATGTTTCCATATACGTTGGGGGTTTTGTAAATATATTTGGAGAAGACAACACTGAGGTGAGGTTCCATCTAACTAGGGGCAGGACTGGGCTCTCTTCCCTGAAAAAATGTTGCAGCAAGTCACCTTAGCACCAATTAATTTTCCAATTTAGCTTTTTAAAGCTCAGAAAGCCCACCTCTCTTACATATCTTTTCCTCTAGCACACTGTTGCACACAGCCAACCCTGACAAAGCTACAGAAACCTTCCTAACACCAGAGAAAATAGGGACAAATCCTCCCCTGATGCCGCTCCAACAGCGGCTAGCTTGCAGCGCCACGGTGATCATCATTTACCACAACTCCACGATACTTCCGACTGTGCAGCTGGAAGACATTTTAACTTCTGGCTGCCGAACAGCGTATTGGCAAAAAACCCCACCTTCAAATACCCGTACACAGTGCTTCAGAAGAGGTGTTCAGGGTTCTTCTCAGACCACAGAAGATCTAGAAGATCCATTTACCTGCTTAGCTGTGTGACAGAACAGAACCCTGCGGTTTGGTATACTGCAGACATCTCAACCCCATCTTCAGCCCCGATCTCATCAGGCCTCATGAATTAAAGCAAGTTAGATGCTTAAGAAGACAGACCTACAGAGAGACCTGATCGGCTGCTTTGGGCAGCAGCAGAAGCATTTTCTACTCCAAGCCACAACCCCGCCAGCGTTTCACTGCATTTATGGGAGAGCCACGTCGAAAGAAGACGGGGGATGCAGCTCAGATGATGCAAATATGACGTGCTAGCCGCCGATGGTCACTGCAGCGTCGGAGGCAGACTGCCTCTGCAGGGGCAGGCGTGGGGTCTCACATCCAGCCATAACCCTGTTGTTTTAATAAACTAGTGCCAGGTAACGCACTTGGATCCTCTTCCAACAGGCAACGGAGCTTCTGCTTCAACCTCAGCAAGAAAATGAATCCTCGACGAGTTTGTACTTCGGTACAAGACTGGATGAGAAGAATCTCCCAAAAAGACAGCTCATCACCGTGAATAATCTGAACTCAAAATCTGTCATTTTAACATCATTGAAACTTCGCTTTTCATATATCTGCTATCTTCAAGCGCTGGATAAAGACGTTTGCCTCAGTCGGTATCTTTTGTAATCTTCACCCATTCTTTTTTCGCATTATTCATTTTGCTTGCCTACTTCCTTTCTGATTTAAAACCATGGAATGGTTTGGGTTGGGAAAGCCCTTTAAGCTCCCCCAGCCCAACCACCCCCCTACCCCTGCCATCCCACCCCCAAACCCTGGCCCTCAGCACCGCCTCTGCCCGGCTGTTAGATCCCCCCAGGGCTGGGGACTCGACCCCTTCCCTGGGCAGCCCCTTCCAGTGCCTGACAGCCCTTGCAGGAAGGGATTTTTCCTAAAGTCCAATCTAAGACTTGCCAGCTGACATCCGTTCCTAACCCAGCATTCTCAAACTGCTCGTCACAACTCAGTACTACACACCAGGAATCATCACATCTAATCACTTTGACCCAGAACAGCCCTGAAGATCCAGTTCATCCCCAGGCATGCTGGGGAGACCCACAGGTTCATCTGGCTCACCCAGCACCCATGGTGTGCACCAGGGGACAACGGCTAGGGAGGTGCGTAACGGAACAGAGCCACTTCCCTGGCCCACGCCTCCAGCCATCTGCTCATCAAAGCCTTCTCGAGCCGCCAGAGGGTCACTGCAGAGCGCCTGAAGGGTTGTCTTCCACAAACTTGTTCTTTTTCAACTAAGATTTCGCAACATCGGGGCAAAGAGCGTCTACGCCCTGTGTGAAACAACCATTTCCTAGCACAAGCCATACCAGACGTGACCATCGGTTTCCACTGCATCGTTTCCCCATGGCTCCTCCTTCCGTTTCCAACGGTGCCGTTTCGTGTGCTTCCTCTCTGACACCCAGCGCAACTTCCAGGACAAAAAACCTGAACGTCTGGGTCATCTTGAACCGTGCGACTGAGACAAAGATGACAACTTTGTGAAGCCCAACTGTAAAACTGAAAGTAAGAGGAGTTCTTCACTCTTAGCATTCACAAATACACAAGACTGACATTTCTTCACACAAACTTTTATTATTTTTTTTTTTGCAATTAAAAAAACCTCAAACCTAACTCTTGGAGTTATTTTGCAACACTGTTGTCCAAACATGGCTTGCCCCATGAGGTCTCCAAACAGTCTGAACTGCCCGTGCAGCAGCAGGTGTACGTCAACAAAAAAAAAACCCACTCAAAATAAAGTTTTATATATATAAAAGTTAATAATAGCAGCAGCCATGACAGGGAGAAAAGGTTGCGTAGTGGCGGTCGGATGAGAGCGGCTGGGGAACGCCCTAGTGCCATTAGGAGAAGACGTTATGACCTTTCATCTCCCCAGAAAACTTCATAGCCAATTCCTCGAGAAGTACTTTTAGTAAAAACATTCGATTAACGTTAGGAAGCACCAGTAAGCAAGCGACTGGAGAATTCACATGGGAACAGATCACACTTTTCCAGAGTGCGTTGTCCATTTATTAACACAAATTGGTGGCCCTGCTCAATTTTACACGTTTTTATTTTAAAACCCAACTTCCCTTTAAGTTTTCAAGTCTGCCCAAACAGCTGCGCTCCTCCCCGGCCTTCAGTGCTCCCAGCGTAAAAGTTTATTGAGAATTTATTTCTATTCCGAAGCCCCTAATGCAGCTGCCACCACCTGAACCATTCATTCACTTCTGTAACACAACCACAATCTCGCACGATTTTGCCCAGCTGCGGGAAGCACTCCCCCACAGGCCTCCCACACGTCTGCCGAGGAGGATTTCAAATTTAAACACACAAAACTAAGAATGAATTACTCAATTTTTTAAAATTACATTCTCCTGTATTTTTGACACATCAAGCCTAGGGCTTTCAAGAAAAATCCACAGCTTTCAGAACGCTTTTCTCTCCCCCAGTAGTTACCAGTTCCTTCCTTCCTTTTTTGTTTTCTCCTTCGAGAACTGAAACTGTTATTTGCTTCATAGCCGAGAGCTCAGTCAGATGAATGGAAGCATTTTGCGTGTCCCTCAGAGCTGGTCTTCAGTCTCTGGAACAGTCAATGTCACACAGACCGCATTTGGAAGATTAAATTTTTGCAGATAAATAGGCTGCTCTGTCTTAACGCAGACTTTGCAGGAGGGGGGCTGCGTACACCAACACCTACCCTACCGAGACTCAGCACACAAGTTTTGCACACGTTTTAGTCACCCAGGTGACGTTTAGTATTTTACTCCACCAATAAAGGGTTTGTTTTCTCATTTGAAACCCGCTGCAGAAGACATAAATGATTTTTAATATTTAAAGAAATAAAAATCAACGTGCATGGCAACTTGGAAATGCAATCTGGAACAGAGCACATGTTACAAGAATTTACTGGCACTGTCTCTAGCGTTTCGAAATCTGCACGCAAGCACTCAAACTGGCGAACAGCATGACAATTCATTTAATGCACAGTAAAAAATTAGTTCAGAAAACAGTGCAGCAGGTAAGAGGCCGAGTACAAGTTTATGCAATAATCTTTGAGAGACACTCACCTTCATATGAGTGCATTCAATGTTACACAGAGAACACATATGTGGGAATATTCTTGGAGACGTGGCATAGTAGTCATTCATCATCGACGGAGTGGGCAAGCGTTTTATCTTCTGGGCATCGGCCTGCAGAAACGCTGGAAGCCACGATGCTTTCACAATACCGAAAGGCGATTTAATCGGCCCCTCAGCCTGCGTCTGGAAGGGCTTCTGTCCGGCTCCCGCGCCGCTCTGGGCGGTGGGCTGGCTCGTCCCAGATTCGTGCTGAATCCTTTCATGCTGGCTTACAGCTGCGAGAAGTTCAGCCGAAAAGGGCGGTTGGGTCATGGGCGGCATTACGTGCTGGGCCATGGGCTGCTGGACAAAAGGCGGCATGACAGGCGGCATCATGGGCTGGGCCAAGGGTGGCATCATGGGTGGCATCATGGGCGGCATGACAGGCGGTATCACAGGCTGGGATACAGATTTCACCACGGGGAGGGCAGCGGGCGTTGCACACAACGCAGACACCTTTCCCGGAGTCTCAGCTGGAAAAAACGATCGAGTATTTGAGGAATCATTCTGGAACCCCGTCGGCTTTATTAAATCTTCAGCTGGGAACACCGGATTACACGTCACGCTCGGCGGTGGGACGCCCATTGCCACGTTCTGCTCTCGTTGGAAGTTTTCCCTGTTCTCTCCGCTCGATGCTTCAGGGTTATAGACACGTGATTCCAGAGGATCTTCGGTCAGCGCTTCAGGGTTATAAGCACGCACTTCCAGAGGATCTTCCGTGTAACCGTATTTGCTCGCGTGCCCGTAATCAATCACTTTACTCTTGACTGCTGCACCGCTCGTACCACCAATCGTTTCTTCCGCTCTGCTCTGAGAATGTAAGCCAGATAAAGGATGACCCATCTTGCGAATCCGTATTTCTCTTAAGATGAGCGGCATGTTTTCAGGCGTTAACTGGTCATCTGGATAGCGACTGAGCTCCTCCAAGTCTTCATTAGACAGCCCGAAACTCGCTAAAATGCTGGAAGCGCTTTCTGGTGTGTAGCGGTTCTGGGCATTTGAGTTCTGCTCCGAGATCCGTGCCGAGGCCGATGGCTTTTGTCCAGTTGTCCCAGCTGAGCACGGGCTGCTATCCCAGCAACTTGTGCGAGGCTCTCCCTTCTGCTCCTGGTGTAGGTTTGTCTTCTCCTTCACCCGCCTCGGATCAGTCCTGTGCAGAGTTACCCGAACGTTTATCCTCTGCGAACCCGTCCACTGAAACGTTTCCTGTCCCGAAAATCGTTGTGACATTCCTTGAGGTGTTCCAGGTGCAGGCTTTCTCTGAAGACCTGCTGCGCCTCCTCCCCTAAAGGATCCCGGAGGCTTTGTGCCGGATGGATTAGGTCCTCTCGGCCTCTGAGGCAAAGTTCCTCTAGGGCTAAACATTGCGTTTTTCAGAAACGCCTGATTTAACCAAGCATAAGGAGGTGCAGAACCGTTGGTAGCAACTGAGGTCAATTGCTGAAGAGCCAACTGGGTCTTAATTTGTGCAAGCTGTAAAGGAGGAGGGCCCAACAGAAGTGGGCTTGCAATGCCAAGGTTCAAGGAATTCACAAGTGGTGCGAAACTTTCCAAGAATAACACAAAGCTGAAAGTTAAAAGACAAGTATTAGATTATTTTATCTTTTCACCTACTTTACACAGTGGATTCTATAACCGGTGAGAAAAAAACAACTGACATCACAAACCAGTGTTTTAATGACAGTTTAAACAGTATTTTTGAATTCAAAATTCTGTTGAACAAAACCATTTTCTTTCCCTGGGTAAAATCTTAATATGCAGCCAATAGATAACAGATCATTAAGTAAATGAGCTTCACCCAGCAAGTTCAATGTCACAAATAACACACCTAGTGACGACACTCTTTTTTTTAACAGCATTTTCTAAAACTTGGCAGTTCGGTTCTGAGTGACGACATTGCTTGGATTTATGTACAATTAGAGCTGTTTTATGAGCAATAAGCCAAAATATTAAAACCCCCTCCAGATGTCTAGGAGGCATGAACTGTAGGTGGAACCATTACGCAGAGAATTCAAAGCGGTCACAGCTTGGATGTCAAGGCATGGCGGGATGGATCTGAAGGCAGCAGAACAGTTTTCAGGAGGAACACTCCCATCACCACTCTCGTGGGTGAACTACAACACCCTGAAAGCATTCACAGGGTGTGACAATATTTTAATTCCGTGGCCAGAAAATTCCCATTTCCCAGATGTTAAAGGCAAGATCTTACACAGAAACAACCGTAAACAGAAAGGTGTGAAGTCATACAAAAACTGAAACTATCTAGATACAAGCATGAAAGAAGGACAACGGCAATGGGAGCTGCCATCTTTTACTGAAACCACTGGAACTCAATCCTGTCAGGCAGCAGCAGAACGTGCAAACGGAGGGAGAGTAAGACAAAGCGCTGCTCACGCTAACAACAAACAAAATACCACCGGTTTCTGGAAGCACGTTCTTGTAGCATGCTCAAAGCAGGGCACCTCATCTGCCCCGCTCTGCCTGCATTTACAGCGCCCCAAAGCTGCACAGCAGAGGATCCCAAAATCACAGAATGATAGGATCATTCAGGTTGGAAAAGACCTTTAGGATCATCAAGTCACCAAGATGTCCTCACTCCACCCCTTGTCAGTCTGCCATCTCCCAAAAGCAGACACTCAGCTGCTTTAATTCTTCTCGCAGCGATCCATTAGCTCTGAATGAGTTTTACCAGCAGATTTTCACTCAGCGTAACTATTAACACGGCTTGCGGACGTGCCCAGTTATTTCTGAACTCGCAGGCCGGATTTCTGCAGCATGGAGGCTCTTGTCTCACACCAACACCAACTCCATCACAGGTTTTGTTTTCAAACCTCACTTGAGTTGACCCTAAACAAAAGCGTTTCAAGTAAACGGAGGTGCCTCTCTCCTGCCTGTCACCTGTAAGGACTGAAGTTCTGACGTTTGAGAACCGCAACTCAAAGAATAAAAACTACACACAGCTATAGCTCGAGAGGTGAACCATGCACAAGCTGCAGGAAATTTGGGGTTTTACAGCCGAATTCCTGTAACTTGTTACCATCTGGATGTTAAGCACTCTTGTTAAGTTCTGTTAACAATTATTTTAACTAAGCATCAACTGAAGTTGGGCCAAGAAGAAGCAGTAGCTACCGAAACATTACCCATCCCTCTTCTCCTTACAAAAACATGGGAAGCCATCATAAAGAGAAGATTCCCACCGGACAACAATCCCAGAGCTCTGGCCTCTAATCCAGGACTCCTTACCCCATACCCCTCCTCCCTCAACGAATTAAATCATATTTGAATGGGAACCGCACGTTGGGCCGAGTTTGTTCACGACCATTTCAAACAGACTATTAAGCAAACATCCACAAAGAAAGCTCTTGCCTTGCAGCTTTGCTCTCATCGCTGGAGGGCAAAGAAACCTCTCAGCACGTTAATTTGGAAACTCTTTGGAGAGAGAACAGTATCAAAGCCACCCATAATGAGAACAAGGAAGGATAAATCAGTAGAGCACATTTTTCAGATAAGGATGCTGGGCTGCAAACCTTAGTTCAGTGGATTAGGAAACTCCCAAGGGGTCTGGTCAGGAGGAAAGCAGAACTTCCACGGGAAGAATTTTTACCACTCAGTCAGAGATTTCCAGGTGGCGTGGCCCACCCAAGTCACCAGCGCGCTGCCATCAGGCGCGCTCCCACAGCGGTTTCCCCAACCACTGCCACGAGTCGAGCGCCTCTACAAACCTCTTGCCAGAGCCCACGGGCCATCAGGGTGACCCGGGAATCGGCAGGTAGGAAAAGCCGACCAGCACAGGGCACAGTCAGACAGCTATCGGAACGCCACGACGAGAGGTCGTCTGGTTTATGACCATTTTGAAAGCCATCGCTCCAGCCAACGCCTAAGGTACACGGCCGTGTTCAGCA